TACGTGCAGCAGCTGTTCTTCGGACGCGAAGAGACGCTTGAGTCTCCGAAAGGACTGCTCCGCCTGGTCCGTCCAGGTGAACTTCTTCTTCTTGGAGCTGAGGGTGTCCGTGATGGCCGCCGTCTCCATCATGAACCCCTTGATGAACTTGCGATAAAAGTTGGCGAATCCGACGAACTTCTGGACCTCCTTCCGATTGCGCGGGCTCTTCCAGTCCAACACCGAGCGGACCTTGGTGCTATCCATGGCGAGTCCCTTGTCAGACAGCTTGTAGCCCAGGAAATCCACCTCCGTCATGTCAAACTGGCACTTCTCCAGTTTGGCGTAAAGTCTGTGCTCCCGTAGTCTCTGCAGGACCTCCTTGACGTCTCCCTCGTGAGCCTCCTGCGATTCCGAGAAGATCAGGATGTCATCTAGGAAGCAGACACACTTCTTGTAGAGGAGTCCCGCTAACACGTGGTGCATGAAGGCTTGGAAACAATGGGAGCCATTTTGCAGACCAAACGGCATAACTCGATATTCATAGGTGCCTAAAGGTGTAAACATGGCCGTCTTCCACTCATCGCCCTCCCGCATGCGTATAAGGTCCGTCTTCTACTCATCGCCCTCCCGCATGCGTATAAGGTTGTACGCCTCTCGTAGATCCAACTTGGTGAAGATTTGTCCCTTCCTCACCGTCGTGAGCAGGTCGTCGATCTTGGGCATGGGGAATGCTGTGGGCTTTGTCCTGGAATTGATGATTCTGTAATCAACTACCAGCCTCCGTTGGGGCGTGTCTTTCTTCTTCACAAAAAACACGGGACTGCCCCCCACTGCTTTGGATTCTTGGATGAATCCTCACTTCAGACATGGAATACAGTTTTCCAGTCGGCAGCGTCGCCCCCGGCAGGAGGTCAATCTTGCAGTCGTAGGGCCTGTGGGGAGGCAGCTTGTCCGCTTCCTTCTCGCAGAAGACCTCCAAAAACACCTTGTACTTGTTGGGTACCGCTTGCACCATGCCTAGGTGTAGCTGTGGTTCATCCTCTTGCCCCTCCTCTTCCTGGCTGGTCCGGATGCAGTGTTCTGCGCAGTAGGAGGAGCAGAAGGTCAATTGACGCTGGTACCATGCTAATGCCGGGCTGTGCCTATCCAGCCAACTCATGCCCAACACTATGGGCGTGTCCGACAGGTGGGTGACGTTGAAGCTGATGACTTCGCGGTGATTTCCAATTTGCATTACCATAGGCGGTGTTTGCTGTACCACCTGTCCTCCCAGTAGCTCTCTGCCATCGACCGTGACGACGTTTAGGGGCATCGTGGCTGGTAGGAGCGCTATGCGATGTTGCCTGATGAAGTCCACTCCTACAAAGTCTGCATTACTACCAGAGTCAATGGTAATAGGGACTTCCAGGGTGAGTCCATTGGGCAGCTGGAGCGATGCGGTGAGTTGCACCACTGGTTTGGGTGGGAGGGGGTCTGTGGGCTGTAAAATCTCTGGGGACTGCTTCACTGACTCGCCTGGCTGGGCCCCAGTGCCTCTGCCTCCAACCAGGCTTCGTCGTTTCCCTGTAGCTGTTCCCCCTGCTGAACTGCTCCCCTTACTGTTGCTGAGGCTGCAGTGTGCCTCTGGATCCTCTGGGGACACTCTTTGGCCATGTGCTGTGCACTCTCACAGATATAACACTTCCTGCTCCCTCTAGGAGCCTTCGCCTTGACTGCTCCTGGTGTTTGGGCTCTGGTCGCTGTCTGAGCCCTGGCACCACCTATCTCCATCGGCTCTTCTCCCCCCCCCCCAGTGGAGGCGTGGATTGCCTGTCTCTCTGGGTAGGAAGGGAGTTGTTCTGGCTGGTGTGCGTGCCATACTTCCCTCATCCCTGCTCCAAGGGCGGTCTTCCAGGCGCACCCCTATCGCCAGCACTCTCTGGACGACTTCTGTGGTGCTGTTAGGTCTCTCCCCCCTCGCCAGCTCATCTTTCACGGCCCCATTTAGTGCCTCCCAGAACAGATCCCTGACGGCAGCGGAGTGCTTCTCCCAGCCCAGCACATTTACTAACGCAAAAAAGCGGGAGTGATATTGTCTCACAGTGGCTTTGCCCTGCTTCAGCCCATGCATTTCCCTCCTGGCCACATCCACATCTACCGTTGATTTAAAATAATCGTCCATAGCCTTGATAAATGCTTTTGAATCTTGGAGGGCGGGATCATTTTCGCGCCATAAATTGCGCAGCCACGATTTAGCTTCCCCATGCAGATGAGTTATTATGAAGCCTACTTTCCCCTCCTCATCTCTAAAGTCTTTCCGAAGCAAATTGAGCGCGAAAACTGTCTGCTCTGAAGTTAGGATACTGCTGCAGGTTCCCGTCGAAGTGGGCTACAATGCTGCCCCCCCTCTTCCCGAGGCCAACTCCCTCCGGCTTGGGTCCTGGCAGCCCCTCTTTGCCCAAACGTTCCCACCTGGTTTGCAGATCCCCGCAGAGCGCTACTGCTTCTTCCTCTCTCTTTCTGGATGCTGCTACTTCTGCGTAAAGCCTCATGACTGCTTCTTGCAGGTCTGTCACCTTCTCTGTAGTCATCTTTGCCTATCTTCGTGAGCTCGCAAAACACCAAGTTTTGCCCCTCGCTGCGCCAACTCACGCTGCGAGGGTTCAATTCTATAATGAGACGGAGCTTACTGTCAGAGCTGCCCGAGGTTCCAGCTCACAAAGGACCAACGCCAGTTCGTTGTTATATACAAAAGTCTTTATTGAAGTTCAGTTTCGCTTTCACAGCCGCAGCGCGCAGCTCTACGTCTCAAACTCTAGACCGCTGAAGCTCCGTCTGAATCTCCTCCCCCCAGACACCAGTTTAAGACTCTAGCCTTGCTCCACCTCTTCCTTTGCTCTTTCCTCCTCTGGTTCCGCCTGTCCGCTGGGGTCTTGCCCTTCCTAGACTCTTCTGACGCTGAGTCCCCTGAGTCTTCCCCCTGCCTCCGGCGGGCTTTAGGACCTGGTTCCCAATCCGGGTTTTCTGCTGTCCCGTGCGCCTGTACATTCGAACTTGGCGCGCGCGCCCAGCCGGCAACCTTCCTCCTGACCGTTACACTGCTCCTGTCACTGCTTCCCCCTTCGGGGAGGCTAGCTGGACCTGACCTCCCCTCCATTCCCCCACTCTCCGATAGAGGCGTGGTCAGCCCTGACTCATCTTCTCTCCCTGCTGGAGGAGACGCTGGCCCTGACACATGGGACTCTTCCCCCCCACTACGCTCTGGTGGGGAAGCTGGTCCTGATCTCCCGCTGCTGCTTTGGGAGTCCCCGCTGGCCTCTTGTTTCTGGTGCGTCCCCCCTGGGACCCCCCTTGCCCTGACCATCGGCGCCCCCTTCTGGGAATCTTCTGATTCGCTGGAGAAGCTCATGGAATCTCTCGGGTCACTGTCATACTCCCCTACGCTGCCCTCAGATTCTTCCCCTTCGCTCTCCATTTTCTCTCTCCCCTGTGCCTCTGCTCCTGAGCCCCTGACAATAACATAATATTTAAAAACCACCATTTAAGGTGAAGAAAATTAAAAGCACTTAAAACATTTAAAACCATTTTTGTCACGCTGCAAGGAGCTGCTCAGGCCACTTAAACTGTGGCAGTGAGTACAGGCCCCGCCCCCTAGGCCCAATGGAGCTGGCAGGAGAGGGAGCGGTCCTCCCAGCACTCACGAGAGCAGCAGTGTCATCCTAACTGTAAGAAAAGAGCCATAGGGATGGCATTCTACTTGGAGGTGAGAGTTGGAAACAGGGAATGCCTGCAGGCGCTCCTGCTCCTGCTAACCCGTTCAAGAGGTGCTTTTTACAAACTGAGCTCACAGTCCAACTGTAAAACCATGACATCATATGCTTATGAAATACGTGATATTTGTTGTCTGATGAAGGGGGGGGGCAGCTCTATGCCTTCCATGGGTCACACCAAGCCTGGGGGTCAAAACAAGGCACCAGCTTAGATCTTCTCAGGTGAATATCAGGCTTGAGTCCATAAATGTTGCTCGACTTTATCTGGTGTCACTTAGGCTCTGCCGTCTGAGCCTCTACCACCTGCGCATCTGCCGCTGCTGTCAGGAGTGCAGTGGCGTGCTCTGGTCCATGGGGTCACAAAGTCGGACACGACTAAACGACTAAACAACAACAACAACAAGACTGTAGAGTTTCTGCAGGAATGCCCTCTAGGAATAATGTACCTTCCTTCTTACACCAGCCTAGGTGTGTTCTGACTGCATTATTTCCTACTGTACCTGGAAATCTGAGAACTCACTGGGCTTTGGGGGTGACAGATTCCAGTTGAAGTTCATTTTGTCTTTGCTTCCACAAAGAAGCAGTTGGATTCTCTCCAGAGATCTTACTGAATTTCCAGGTAAGATCCTTTGCTGGGAGTCCTACTGCTGCTGAACCTCCCTTCTTTGGGAAAGGGTGCATATTCAGATGGCACTTGCAAAGTTTGTATTTGGAACCTGGCTGACTTGTTGCTCAGCCTGTCATCCTACCCAACCTTTACCTCTCAATTTATGAAAAAGGGGAGTTGTAAAATGAGATTTAATAATTTTGAAAGCTTCCATGGTTGATCAGAACTCAAAAGAGACATTTAGCCTGTGTAGTGGTATGGTTTTTATGAGCTAGTGTATTTGGACAGTTAGTTGAAATACTATGTCCCAGGTGTGTTTAGGTAACCGTTAGGCAAAATGATAGTAATATATCATTTTTTGTTTTGTTTATGCATTCAGATGATTGGACTGAAGTTGTTGACCTTTTTTTGGGATTTTACCCCCAAAGCTGTTGACCTTTTCTTGAACGACGGGAAGGAACTGCCTGTGGGGGCCGAGTTAGGCTCCCCCCACCGTACTTAGGAACTGCATGCTTAAAGGGAATGCCCTTAAAAAGAGGAGGGGCAAGTGATGGCCCCTCCCCCAGAATTCTCCAAGTCGTCCTCGGACTCCTCCTCGGAGTCGGAAGACTTGCTCCTCTTGCTCTTCTGACTTGGCTTTTTCTGTCCTTTTTCCTCTGCAGCTTCTTCAGCGCCTGCCGGCTGTTGTGCCTCCTCCTTTGCCCAGGAAGTCTGAGCCTGGGGCCACCGAAGGGCGTCTCATTCCATCCGATTTTCATAGAATTTTCATAGAGCACAACGATCAGGGCCCAGTCTTTGAGCGGCAACTCCACTAGATCTATTGCAATAAAATTTACTTTCTATTTCTCCAACTGATGCATCTGTGATCTTTGGCACATCTTGAACAAGGTACCCAGGTTACCCGCAACAGAATGGCCAACCAGGTTAATGAACTATGCCGAAATGGCAAAATTCATTGGGAAGCTCAGAAGTCTAGATGACAAGGGGGGAAAATGGGAAATGTTTATTATGTATCTACAAAAGTATTGTTAACAGGTTAATACATTGGCAGGATTTTAAGAACACTTGTAATTTTAAAGATTGTACAGATAACGTGAGGAAAAGAAATTTTGTAGTAGTAATGATATGCAGTTGAAAAGAGAACTTAAGGAACCCAGGGAAGGGGTGGAGGGAAGTTGCGGGATTCTTGAACAGGAAATAGAAGGTGCCATTCAAAACATGCAACTGGGCAAATCTCTGGGACCAGGACTTACTTCCAAGTACTACAAGGCGTTGAAGGAATGGATAGTACAACCTTTGAAGGGAGTTTGTAATGAAATTTTGGAGGGGGAAAGGGCACCAGAATCGTGGAAAGAGGCATTTATTACACTAATACTGAAGACAGAGACTGAGAAGACTCAACTTAAGAACTATCGGCCTATTTCGTTACTGAATGTGGATTATAAAATATTTGCTGATATTTTGGCAAAGAGATTGAAGAAAGTTTTGATGGGGGAGATTCATGGGGACCAAGCGGGCTTTCTCCCGAGAAGACATGTCAGATAATGTAAGGAATATAATTGACATTTTGGAACTGCTAGAGGTGAACATTAATACCAAAACAGTCTTGATATTTGTGGATGCGGAGAAAGCCTTTGACAATATTTCTTGGAGTTTTATGAAGAAGAACCTCCAGGGGATGGGGGTAGGCCAAGGTTTCCAAAATGGTATTGATGCAATATATTCTGAACAGAAAGCAAAGTTAATCGTAAATAATGTGGTTACAGAAGAGTTTAAGGTAGAAAAAGGAACACGTCAGGGGTGCCCAATCTCTCCATTACTATTTATATCAGTCCTGGAGGTTTTGCTGAACATGATTAGAAAGGACCGGTTGGTTAAAGGGGTACAGGTCGGAGCTAAACAATACAAATTGAGAGCATTTGCAGATGACTTGGTACTTACTTTACAAGAGCCAGAATCTAGTACAAAAAGGGTTTTAGAACTAATTCAAGATTTTGGCCAAGTAGCAGGATTTAAACTGAACAAAGCTAAAACTAAGGTGTTGGAGAAAAATTTAACATCTTTTGAAAGGGAGAGGTTTCAGAATGTGACAGGTTTATCTGTGGTTAAGAAGGTGAAATATCTGGGGATTAATATGACAGCCAAAAATGTGAATTTGTTTAGAGATAATTATGAAAAATGCTGGACAGAAGTGAAAAAGGATCTAGAAATTTGGTCAAAGTTGAAGCTTTCCTTGTTGGGTCAAATCGCAGCTATAAAGATGAATGTCTTGCCTAGAATGTTATTTCTGTTTCAAATACTGCAAATTGTTGACAAGATGGACTGTTTCAAGAAGTGGCAAAAAGATATTTCTAAATTTATCTGGCAGGGCAAAAAGCCCAGAATAAAATTTAAGATATTAACTGATGTAAAAGAAAGGGGGGGATTTGCCCTGCCAGATTTTAAACTTTATTATGAATCAGCCGCTTTCTGCTGGTTAAAAGATTGGCTACTTCTTGAGAACACAGATATTTTGGACTTAGAAGGGTTCAACAATAACTTTGGGTGGCATGCATATTTGTGGTACGACAAGCTTAAAGCTCACAAAGCTTTTAAAAATCATATTGTCAGGAAAGCATTGTATAACGTTTGGATTAGGTATAAAGATTTGCTGGAAAATAAAACTCCTAGGTGGTTGTCTCCAATGGAGGCAAAGGCCGTGAAAAAACTTAATATGGAATCTAAATGGCCGAAATATTGGGAAATACTGGAACAAGAGGGGGACAAACTCAAGCTACAGAGTTATGAAAAATTGAAAGATAAAGTGCGAGACTGGCTTCACTATCATCAAATAATGGAGGTGTTTAAGCTAGATAGGAAAAATGGTTTCCAGATGGAAAAATCTAAATTGGAGACAGAACTGTTAGAATCCAAAACTAAGAATTTGTCAAAAATGGATAACTTGCTGTTGGAATGGAATACTCAGGATGAAATAGTTAAATCAGCTATGATCAAGTGGGCACAAGATATTGGTCATAACATTATGTTTGAAGACTGGGAAAGGTTGTGGACCACCGGTATAAAATTTACAGCATGTAATGCCTTAAAAGAAAATATTATGAAAATGATTTATAGGTGGTACATGACCCCAGTCAAACTTGCAAAAATTTACCACTTGTCTGACAATAAGTGTTGGAAATGTAAGGAGACTGAAGGAACATTCTTTCACCTTTGGTGGACGTGCCCAAGGATTAAGGCTTTCTGGGAGATGATTTACAATGAAATTAAAAAGGTATTTAAATATACCTTTCTGAAGAAACCAGAGGCCTTTTTGCTGGGTATGGTCGGCCAATTGGTGCCAAAGAAGGATAGAACATTTTTTATGTATGCAACAACAGCAGCAAGAATACTCATCGCAAAGTATTGGAAGACAGAAGGACTACCCACCGTGGAAGAGTGGCAGATGAAAGTGATAGACTATATGGGACTGGCAGAAATGACTGGCAGAATCCGAGACCAAGGAAGAGAGACGGCGGAGGAAGACTGGAAGAAATTTAAAGACTATCTTAAGAAATATTGCAAAATTTTTGAATGTTAGAACGATTTGATTCTGAAATTAAGTGGTTGTTTGCTGTAATGATTTGTTATGAAAAGAATGACTAAGGATTTAAACAGAAATTAGGGGAAGGATTTGTTGAAGAGAATGCATCAGAGAATAGAATGCAGTAAGGGGAGGTATGAGGAAGTCGGGAAAGTAAGTTTTATGAACGTAAGGGAAGGAAATTATACATGTGGTTTTTTGTGTCTTTGTTGTATGTATTTTTGTCTTTTTTTCTTTCTTTTTTGTACTTTTTTCTTTTGTGATTTCTTGCAATGATTTTTGTGTTAATTTAATTCCTGGAAAAACCAATAAATATCTTATAAAAAAAAAAAGAAGTTGTGGGATTCAGAGAATCCCATATAGTGGTTTGGACATTGTTTTTTTTTGGGGGGGGTGTTCTTTTTCTGGTTTTTGTGTTTTATTTTTGTTATTTTTGTTGAAAATAAATTTAAAAAATTACAAAAACCCTCATACCCGAACTCCCTAAATGAACTTCTTAGGTCTTTATCTAACAGACATATCAGCAATGTAGGAAAGGTGAGAAAGAACACAAGCCCAAGACACGCCATCGCTTTATTTATACAAACTTAGCAACAGTAACTTGGTAGGAAAGCAAAATCAGCAGTCAGTAGTACAAAACCGAAAAGCCACTGAACACATTTGAATAGCTGTTTTAAAAAAGCAATTGCAAGTTCATTCTTCATAGTTTCCCAACAATATTTGTACGTCACTTCTCCCAAGTGTGGGTTGATCTTAGCTCAATGTCCTGCCCTGTGTTTTTCACTTGCAGCACTGTTTCTTTTCTGCTGCAGTTCAGCTTCCAACAAAAACTACATCATTAGCCTCACTGTTCACTGGAGTTGAATTTTACCTAGTTCATTGCATTATTCCACACCATTAAGTGTGAAGGCCATGCATTTCAGTGCAAAGGAAACGCAATACAAATTGCAAGTGGGCAAAAACCTGTCATCAATTATTGGATACAACTTTGTATTCTTTATTTGCAATGCCATCTTGCAAAATAAGCACCTTGTATCTAAAGTTGCACATTTGCATAACCTATTATTATTTACTGCTCTTCATCCGAAGATCTCTGTGGTTCATTGCAGAAAAGTGCAAAAAAGGGAGTATAAAAAATGTAATAATACAAAAACTGAAACAAACCAATAACCACCCCCACCCCAATTCAGCCAAATGCCTGAAAACTTTTAGCTGAGATTCCTGCATTGCAAGGGGTTGGACTAGATGACCCTTGGGTCCCTTTCACCTATGATTCTATGGTTTTCCCCTGGCACCTGAAGATCTGTAACTATGGCTCTGGGTGACCCTAAGGAAAGTATTCCACAAATGGGGGGCCACTGCAGAACAGGCCCATTCTAGAGTTGCCACCCTCCAGACTTCTCACAGAGGCAGACAAGGAAGGGCCTCAGATGAAGATCTCAAGGTCTGGGCTGGTTCATATGGGGAGAGGCGGTTGCTGAACAGCAGCAACATTAGCCGCATTGTGGGGCTTCAATCAGTGCCGGATTTACGTATAAGCTAAACAAGCTCTAGCTTAGGGCTCCACTCTCTGGGAGGCCCAAAAAAAATTAAAGAAAAAAATACTGCATGTACATTTCCAAAATACGATAAAGACAAATATAGTGCTACCTCGGGTTAAGAACTTAATTCGTTCTGGAGGTCGGTTCTTAACCGGGGGCCTCATGCTGGTGCCGTGCCGCCGCCTCGCGATTTCTGTTCTCATTCTGAAGCAAAGTTCTTAACGCGAGGTACTATTTCTGGGTTAGCGGAGTCTAACCTGAAGCGTCTGTAACACGAGGTACCACTGTAAAATAAAACCTACATATAGCAACAGTGTTTTGTGTTGTGTCAGCTCCTATGATGTAAGTCATGGGCCCCCAATCATTTGAAGTTAGAGCTTAATAATTATTTCACTATTAATATACTTCTTCTTAATTGTATTTCACTATTAATATCTTCTTAATTGTATTTCAGTTCAACAATTACCATACTTTGATAAAATACATATTTTGTTATGTGCAAATGGTTTGAGATACCTATGAGGTCCATAAATTACCATGTAGCATATATTCCTCAGAAAAAACAGTGACCATTTCTTTTTGTCAAAGGACAGCTGGACACGTAAAGGGCCCCATTCCTTTCAGTAGCTTAGGGCATCCAACCTCAATCCAATACTCAGTTCTCCACATTTCCACAATGATTTCATGAATTCTCGTAAACATTGACCAGCATTTTAGTGTCAGTTTCTCCCCAGGCACATTTTTACGCAGTTTAAAGTAATGTGTGCCTCTTTGCAAGCCGTTTCATGCAATATAATGAATTTTTTGTGTTATTTTCACTGAAACGTGCATTTGTATGCACACTTCCCTCTAGAGCTTTAGGGCAGCAGCTGAAGAAGGAACAAAAAGGGTTTTCCTGTGTGAGTTTCTTGTGGCTGTTTAGCTGCTCTCTCTGGGCAAAGGTCAGAGGGGGCAGGGCTTCTGTTGAGGTAGGTGATTAGCTGTGGGAGGAGCTTATCAGAGCTTTAGGGCAGCGGCGCGCGCAGTTTGATCCATATTTTAGATTTAGGGGAGCTAGTCTCAAACATTTGTTGGGGGAGACCTAGGTTTTTTG